TAAATATTGTCCGTGAAAAATCAATGGTGAAGCAAAATGCAAAGCAAGTTTTACTTCGCATTGTATCCATCAGCATGGATTAAAATACGCGAACAGCACATATGACAGCCATGAAGTAAACATAATGAACATTTAAGTTAAAGGCTACAATCTTACCTAGAAAGCCATTTTGCTCGATAATCTAATGATTTTAGAACATGTCATTCGCTCTAGCAAGAGTAAAACTAGCACACCACACGATAAGTCGATGTATTTAATATCACTTAAGTGAAGATTTTCGAACAGATATAAAATGTTGTGGATACAGGGAACTGTTTAATTCATCTGACAAAGCAGAAAGAAGATACACTGATATAATACGAGTGAATGTACACAAGCATAGTGACAATTTTTAGGCGAGTGGATATACAAACCTGTAATTTGTTAACTGAAATCAACCAAAGACAATACTAAAAATTCCGAATTTTTTGTCCTAATATGTAAGTGGATATGTCTGTCGACTGATAGGTGCTACCCCAAAGAGGTGGCAGTACTTGGATACCACTACCACCTAACGAGTTATGGTGATGAGAGCATTTGTTTTTTGAGTTCACACTATACTAAAAATATCTGTTGGATCAGATAAATACGGAATTCTGTTAGTGTCAATGGCAGCGATACGATGAGGGTTCGAGGATGAAGTCATAGAGATGATCAGACAGGATGTGAAGTGTTTCCCACCTATGACCAGAAGTCTGTGCTAATCCTATCTTCTCAATGTAAAGCGGATTAGAAAACGCTCACCATAAAACAAACATACAACCCACTGCCACACGATGCTCTGATGTCAGAAGTATTGCCTTCCAATCCAGATTCACAGCAAACAAACGCAAACCTCAAAAACACAAAAGTCGTGTACTACTGACCGCATGCAGATGTCCCCTAGGTCTGCATTACACAAAACAAAGCCAACCTCATGTTAAAGTAACCTGCAAATACAAGTTCAAAGGTGTGGGATGCAGCAAAGTACTAACCACCAAACACATAGAAATCACCATCGCAGCAGTAAACTAGTTACTACCAGTCACCTCACCTGCTTTTCGTCCAGAAAGTAGAATTAGTTCGCTAGCAGTCTGCTCAAAGCCAAAAGCTACAAACAAAGCAGGCCATCCTAGCCAGTGAACGCCATTGTTGGTGTCATAAAACAAAAGTTACCAATTTAGCACTACAGCTTTCACCACCCAATGACGAACCGGGAAACATATCCCGCCAAAACTAAGAAAACTCAAGCCACTAAACAAAAAGTGGAAATAATGTAAATCTTTGGTGCTTATAGTCTCACTTCCCACGATATTCTTAGCACCACCAACTCTAGGCAAAACCTATCAAAGAAATACTGCAATCTGCTGATGCATGATTAGTGTAAGGGTTTATTGGGGTGGAGTGGGGTGTAGATTGTCATCTAAGCTGATAACAACCAATTGTGTCTACCATTCCTTGGTGATCTTGTCATACACGTGTACTAACACACATATAACCGGAGACACTTCCGATTTTACAGGCATCGACCCACTCCATGGAGGTCATCTGGTTAATTAGGAGTACTCAAATGTCACTGTACTGTTAGCCGAAGACAGTGATATGATTCAGAGTCTTATGAATGCATTGAGCAGAAATATGAGTGTGATTGAAATGCGTTTTGCACCTGCAAACGTAAAGTAGGTGATGCTTCACAACTGGTCTGCACTGACTGCTAGTGTAACAGTAGGGATTGAAGTGTTGAAATGTGTTGACCACTTCACTCACTTGGGAAGTTACATCAACCTAAATTGGTTAGTTGTTGATGAAATCTCAGTTTAGATACAAAAGACTTGTTTGATGTTTGCCAATTTGTGTCATCTGTGACTGACTCTGGTGAGACATATGACCACTTAATAAATGACGAGTATACTGC